GGCTTCGGCACTATACCGATGCAGCGCAACAAGGGACGTTCGTTCTAGACAGGGAGAAGGACGAGCTCACAATGGCCCTCGGGAATCCTGAGCACCCTGGATGGACACGAGACACGTCAGGCTCCATTCCGTGGAAGGTTGGTTTTCCGGACGCAGGGGGTTACAAAACCCATGAGAGGAGGAAGAAACTAGAGCAGAGCCAACTGCAGGCGCTGCACGAAAGGGTACAAGGGCTAGAGGAACGAGAAGTAGATCGCAGTAAATGACATGCCGAAGCTTCCCCCGAAGCTACCCCGCCATCTCAGAGGATAAGCAGCATGGCTTCCACCGAGCTGCTTCAGATGGAGCATGTCTTGACGGCTCCTGCTAGCAACCCCGTGGATTTTATCACGGAGGCTCAAAATTGCCACCTTATGACGCAATGGCAGAACTTAAAAGTCAAGGCGGCTGTCGGCCAAGTTCGACCTTCTGAACCCGGTGCAACTTTTCACTGTCGTCCGATTCCAGAAGGATATGCTAGGGTGATGGTGGACGAAATAATGGAGGGACTTGAGGACCTCCAGTTTGACCACCCTACTGGTGAAGGGGAGACTCGGCTGGGTTCTGCTCTGAAGACTCCATGCCTATGGAGGAAGGAGTTCATCAAGCTCCCAAACTGGACGCCTCCTCCTCCTCCGGCGAGTCAGGGCACTCCGCCTCCTCCACCGCCTCCTCCTCCGGCGAGTGACAATCAGGGCACTCGGCCTCCTTCTCCGGCGCATGGCGGCACTCCGCCTCCTTCTCCGCCTGCGCCGGCGCGCCCGAGCAGCCAGCAGCCTCCTCCTTCTCCGGCGCGTGGCGGCACTCTGCCTCCTTCTCCGCCTGCGCTGGCGCGCCCGAGCAGCCAGCAGGATCCTCCTTCTCCGCCTCGCCAGCAAGGGCGGAAGAGACCCGCCGCCGCCCCGGCTGCTCCGGCGAGTCGTAGTCCTTCTCCTCCGCCTCGTAAGCAAGCACGAAAGAAGACAGATGCCGCGGCCGCTCCGTCTGCTCCGGCGTCTAGCAGTACAGCCAGCAGAGGCGGGAGGCAATATAGATACGGTCCTTCTCTCAAGCCTCTAGAGAAGTTACCGTACGAGAGGACCAAGGAGGAAAACGCGAAGATCGTGCAGACCGAAGTGAACAACTTGTTTGAAGGGGTGAAAGCAAAGAGACATCCACCTCCGGAGGAGAAGGTAGATCCGGTGAAAGCAAAGTGCACTATCGTTGCCCTGAGGAAACCACCAAAGTCTCCGCCGAAAAACAACTATGAGTGCATTACTGCAAAGACATATCTCAAAGCTAACCAGTCGGGAAGTACTGTCAGTGATAAAAGGTTAAAAGAACGAGCAACTGGGAAAAAAATTGCCCAGATCGGCGAACAAGCAAAGCAATCGTGCCCCCCGCTCAATGTGTCTAGCGGCGACATCGTCACTAATGCTCCGGGGACGGTGGCCAGTTATGGCAATGTTGCAGATTACCTGCCTGACGATCAACTTCCTGATTTCTTGGAGGTGGACGAACACAGATACGAGTACGGGAAGCCTCTCATCAAGGATGAAATCTCTAACAACGATGATGCGAAGATTCCATAATTGGTACATGAAAACCTGCAGAGAGTCTGGGGTGACGAATGCTTTATATCCGAATATTAAAGAGGAGCACGACCTCGTTGGAACTGATCTGTTGACTGTTCCATTTGAGGAGTTCTTCGAGTTCTTCAATCAAAAGGCCCTCGATAAATTAACGGTCTTTTGCTACTGTCTGTAAGTATTATTTCTGTCATTAAGTCTCTATATATAGCTCGGCTCTTTCATTGCATGTATTTATAATTAAGTATCCTCACTATATTATGCAGATTGAAGATCGTTGAGTGCAAAAAACAAGAAATGTATGATGTTGGGTTCATTAACACAAATACCATAGGTGAAATTCAGATTACAAAGCACGTCGAAGAGGCCGAGGCCAACTTGCTACAATCGTTGATCAAAAATCAAAACAAAGATTTAATACTCTTTCCTTACAACTTCCAGTGAGTGTTAGTGTCGTGTGCATATTCGGTTTCCCTTATTACTCGAGCGAGGTTATAGTAATGTAATTGATAAGTTGTGCATGCGTGCGCAGATTCCACTATGTTCTTCTGGAGATTAAGCTTGAGCGGGGAGTAGTAAACGTCTTAGACTCGAGACGAAAAGATCCCGAAACCTATGCGGACATGACTAATTTGCTCAACAAGTAAGTTCAATCGTTCATTATCGCACCATATCGGCAACTTTTTGTTCATTTCCTGATATCTCAAGTAATAATAATTATTTTCTTTCTCTTGTAGGGTATGGAAACAGTTCACCGCAGAAGTTTCGGGACTACCAAGGAGCTGCGATATACATACCCGAAAGTAAGTACTACTAGCTAGCTAGTTGCGCGCATCTCCCGTTGATTTTATAGCTGTACTTTCATCAATGCCATTTATAATGCTTCATTATCAGTTTGATTGACCTCTATTTTCTCGTAAAGTGCTTGTGGCAGGAACAATGGAATGATTTATGTGGATACTACATGTGCGAGTTCATCTAGAACGCGACTTTGAAAAATATGAAGTGCGTAAGTAACAATATTCACAATTTCATTTTATTACACCATCATTTCTGTTGAGTTTCATTCATATATGTATTAACCCCCTTCTTCAAATTAGACGTGGCAGATGCGGGATGAACTCCTAGAACAAGATCGCATGAAAGCAATTCAAGAGGAATTGGCGGGATTCTTTTTGACCACGTCATCAATAAAGCCGGAGAATACCATGTGGAAGTTGATTTCAATTGTTAGGGGATTGTAAGAGATCTTACATATTGTATATGTATGTAGCCAGTAGCGTCGGATAGATAATACGAAAACTTGTTGTTCGACCAATCTCTCGGAGAAGGAGAGGTCGATCGATCACTTCTCTCGGTATGCATGACGAACTTTTGTACTTAATGGTTCCCTTCATTTTCTTACTAGCTAGCGTGTCGAGGGCCTCTCTATGTACAGTACGTACCATCGACCAAGCACGGACATAAGAGAGGACACTTCTCTCTATTAATTAGCTAGCTAACAAAATATATG